GGAGGGAATACTAAAGGATATGGGTGTTTGGAGTGGAGAAAATTGGGTTTGGGATTGTAGGTGGAGATGTGGATGTAAAGGGAGGGCAGTAGAAGAGGAAGAACATTTTCGGGCGATGATCAATGGATTTAAGTTGAGGATAGATAGGGAGGATTCTTGGAAATCGGTGCATAGTAGTGATGGCTGTTATTCGATGAAGGCAGCATATGAGTTTCTAACACCGAATTCTAGTTTTTTTGAGGAGAAATGGGCTAAGGTGATTTGGAATAGATATGTTCCTTCTAAAGTGAGTGTTTTTGGGTGGAGAATGTTTTTGAATAGGTTAACTACTAAAGAGAATTTATGTAAAAGAGGTATTGTGTTGTCAGGGGACGATGCGGGTTGCGTGTTTTGTCATGAGGGGGTGGAGCAACTTCATCATATTCTATGTGGGTGTAAAAGGATATGCTTAGTATGGATGAAGGTTTTGGGTTGGTGGGAGATACAGAGTGTTTTACCAAATGATATGTTTAGTTTGGTGGAGTCAGTGGTGTTTGGTATAAGTGGAGGAGTTTTGAAGGATTTAGAGGCTCTAATGTTTCTGGTTACAGCTTGGTTTATTTGGTATTGGAGGAATATGTATGTGTTTAGGACAGAGGTCATGCCTGAAAAGCAATTATTTAAGTCTATTCAAGCGAAGTCTTTTTTATGGCTTAAAAACAAGGAACCAGGGTGTGTGTTTTCGTATACAGATTGGATGTTAAGGCCAAGGGAGTGCAAGGAGGCTATTGTGCAATATCGCAAGAATTTAAAGAGTGTTAGGAAATTGCAATGGGAAGCAATTTGGAAGAGTGCTGATCAGGAAGGCTAAAGCTCGTTCGAGTGCGTTGGTGGTTTTTTTACTGTTGGATTTTGGGTGCTGGAAGCTTTACTAAGCTGCAGATGCAATTGTATGCTGCTTTTATGCTTCTTTGTTCGGTTGTGCTATTTTTACATGATGGCTCTGTTTGATGTTTTAAAATTTCGTGATATAGTGCATCTTTGATTAGTGTAAATGGGCAGGAGTACCCCTTGTGCTCTATATAATAAGATTTGTTTTTGCTGATAAAAAAAAACTATCATTATAATATATTAGTTTTAAGCACAAATAAGATTGTTATAATATGCACTTTCTTATGTCAACTTATGTAATTTTTCAATAAGTTATTTAGTAACAATAAATATTATTGTGAAATATTCATTTCTCATATAATAAAGTTGTTACGATATAAAATTTTTTATTACAACTTATAGTATTATTAGATAATATATTTAGCATTAACAAATATTGGTACTAAAAGATGAAATCAAAATCACTATTTTATCGTTATCATTAGTTTTTACCTACAATTGATAAGTGTGAGTATTTTTATTTATCTACAATTTTGCAAATGTAGGTATATGTTCTCTAATATCTTTATCTATGAATTTAAAACTGTAATGCTATTATTGTAAATGCAGCTAATTATCTTTAATTACATAATATACTAACTATGTTATCTAATGGGTAACTATAGTATTTACGAGGGTTATAGCTACATATTTTAGAGATTTAGCTACAATTTTTGTCTGTAGCTAAATGATAATTATGGTGTAGTGATGAATGGGATTTTGGGGACTTTACTGGGGAAGTTGGCCACCAAATTGAAATGGATTAATTTAATATTGATTTGCTGTCAGTTAGTTTGGTTTTAAAGTTCTTTGATTGATTGGAATTGATCAAAACAACAAATTTTTTTTTTGGACGAAATCTAAACAGCAATTGCCAGCGTTTCAAAAACAACAGCACCAAACTCTCTGGGCATTGTCACTGCTCAGTGCTCTCATGATTGCCGGCGTCGATGGTGATGAAGAAGGAAGGAAAACAAAGAAAGGGCACTATGAACTTTTGTAAAAGTGACGATACACTTCTAATGAATATTACGATGCACATTTCATCCATGTAAGACATAAAATTATGTTTTCACTTAATGAACTGAAAAAATGGAAAGGAACCACTAAAGATATATTTTTTCACAGAAGGAAAAGAATTAGCAAGGAGCAAACGGCAAAACCCATTTCTAACAGTTGTTATGAAGGCATTTGCTGCACAATTAAACTGTTAAAAGTTTGAAACTTTAAATTTAAATTTTGAAATAAATAAAGAAGAATTAAGAGAAAAAGAAAGATATCACCTATTATATAATTTATTATTTAATGTAAAAATAAAAAGTTTGTGATATGAGAAACTAGAGAATACTTGCAATGCTGTTGAAGAATTGTGTCCCTATTTTCAACTAGGGGAGACAATTTGCTTCAATCCTTAAGAAACCAAAGAACACTTGCAATTCTGTTGAAGAATTGCGTCCCTATTTTGAACTAGGGGAGACAATTTGCCTCGATCTTTGCGGGGATCCTGGGGTGGGGAGAAATATTCCTCCCCATAGGGGATGAGGGGTATTTTCCTAGTGAAATTTCGTGAGAAATGGCAAGAATCCCCATCCCTGCAAAAAAATTAAAAAAATATGTAAATTAATTTTATTTTAAATTCAATTCAATCTTTAAACCCAAAACCAATTTAATAAAAATTAGACTTAACCCAATTTCACCCAACCCAACCCAACCCAAACCATAACAATTAACCAACCCATTATTAACAATTTAACCCTAACCTTACTCATTTCTCATCACTCACACCTTCCCCTCCCCTTTTGCCATTAGCACTCTTCAAGAATCTCAGACCCTAAATCCCTCCATTGTCGTCCTTTTACCTTTCTACCCTTCTTACCTTTTTGCCCTCACTTTCACCTTTGCCTTTCTCCTAACCTAGAAACCCTAAATCCCTCCATTGCCACCTACTAATTTGTTGGAGCTATTGCTGAAGTCAGACTACATACAGTTGTTGGAGTGGATTGCCACTAGGTTACACTATTGCTGCCAAATCCATCTGGATTGTAGTTATCAAACTCAAAGCAATTTGCCATTCAATCTGTTGGACTATTGAACTTTGTCTCTGTTGTCGGACTACTTCACCTACGGTTGTATGCTACAAATCCAAACAATAAGAAGTTTAAATAATTTGTTTATGATTGAATTAACATAGAGAAAGTTTAGATTTTTTAGAGTTTACTAAATTCTCTGGCTGTTCATAGCCATTTCTATTAGTGAATTGCCTTATTAATTTCTTTACATATATATATATATATAGATAACATAGAAAAGTGTAATGGCTTCTTAGTAAAATCAAGACACTGAGAAAACTGTGAATCTGGCTGTCTAGTTAATTTTTAGAGTTTATTGTGAAATCCAGTTAAACTGTGAAAGGGAAGAATTTATCCATTAACTAAAGAAAAGTTCAAAGTTTATTTTTTAATGACTAATTTGGTATGAGAATCTATTTTATATTTCAATCTATTTTATATTTCTTGTTGCAAAAAGGTTCTTTGGATGATGTAAGTTTCTTTACTCTTAATGAGGATATGGATTGTGATGAAGAAAATAATTCAAAGGTAAAGTATACATGACCTTTTTTTTATACTAATAATAGAAATAGTTTTTTTATAAATATGTTAACATGAAGTATTTACTAATTGTAGTATAAGCTTTTTGATGAGCAAATGTGGATTTTGAGAGTTAAGGTGTTTTGAGTTGATTGCCTCCTTTTGTGTTGGAGTTTAAATGTTGGTTTAATTATTTTTTATATTGAATTGATTTTTGCTTGTATTTGGAACAAGTATGTTGGATTAGCTATTTATGTTGAATTAATTGTTATTTATGTTTGGAATAAGTTTGTTGGTTTAGTTACTTATATTGAATTGATCTTTACTTATATTTGAATAATTTATATTTGATTTTATATTTAAAAAATTTTAATTAATTGTATCTGAATTTTTAAAATTTTATTCATTATAATTAAATATTAATTATATGTAAAAAAATTTATATTTTAATATTAATTAACAAAAATGGAGATCCCAACAAAAAACAAAGATGAAAGACAAAATCTACCTCCCATAAAAACTTCCTGCAATAATTCCATTACATTCGCAGATGGGGATGGAGAGGGATTCCCAGCCCCCGCAAGGCCCCTTGCCATCCTATTTTGAACTATTTTGAACTAGTGTAGAAGGCACTGGTTGGGTTGGGGTGTATAAATAAATTAAACTTGCCCAACAAAGCAGAGGAATTCCTTTGTAAATTGTGCCTCTCCTAGTGTACTTCTTTGATCTTTTGTTTCGTACGTACGCTTTTTCAATATTAGTGGGTATACTGTTATTAAAGATATTTATTTATTTATGATAAGATATTTTTAAATTAATTTTATGCACTTAAAAATTAATTTTTTTAAATATTAATTTTAAAACTTAAAATTTAAATTTAATATATAAGATGATATTTGAATTTTAATAAATATAATTTTAAAGTTATTTATCAAAATTTATATATAATAAGTATTGTATCTTAAAATAACATTTTATGTAAAGAGATAAAAATTATTATAATGCTTAAAAAATTCTCAAAACTGCCTTACTTACACTAACTTTTCTACATTTACGACTCTCTACATACTTCAACATACAACACTTGAACACAGGTGCTGGCCAAACACAGACTGGTTGTCTATAAAGTCTAAACAAGTGATATCCATCGCAAATAGCGACAAATGGTAGAAAAGGTCAAAATGCTTGGTGTTGCTATAATGGCAATTAATTTATTTAACCTCTTGATGTTGAGAACCAAAATATTGTTCCCAGCCACACCTTGTAGCCTTGTGGTTACTCTCCTTTGGAGAAGGTTCACGGACACTAAAATCCTTGGTTTAATGACTAGGAGCTGCATCCCCACCACTAAAAAACATTCCTCGTGATCAATAAAAGAAAAAAGAGAGAGAGGAAGAGGTAAAGTATTAATTTATAATTTATTACATACATGCGCAAACAACCGAAGGGATGGGAAGGTGAGAGTGATGAGAGATGAAAGAAAAAAGAGAGAGAGGAAGAGGTAAAGTATTAATTTATAATTTATTACATACATGCGCTAACAACAGATGGGATGGGAAGGTGAGAGTGGTGAGAGATGAGTAAACTTAGGGTTAAATGGTTAATAATGGGTTGAGTAAAATTGGATTAAGTTTAATTTTTATTGGATTGGATTTGGTTTTGAATATTAAATTAAATTCAAAATAAAATTAATTTATATATTTTTTTAATTTTTTGTGGAGATGGGGATCTCCACAAGGTCCCATGCGACAGGGAAACTTCCCCATGAAATTTTGCGGGGGGAAGATAGGCAGGGAGGAATATTCCTCCCCCGCCATGTCCCCATGATGGGGATTCCCATGGGGCCTTGTAGGGATTAAGGTAAATTGCCACCTCTAGTCATAATTTAATTGATCAAAAAAAACTTTCCCTTCTCTCTATTCCATTCCCCTTGTTTGGGGGTGTTGTTGATTAGGTGGATGAATCAGCAGTGGTGGTGACATGGAAGCTGACTAGGATGACACTTGAGAAAATGAAGGGGGTTTTTTCAACAGCACCTGTCTCATGTGCAGGAAGTTACATGCTATGGGCCATCTCGTTCCGTAGGGTGATGATATCTCGTAGTGCACTTTCCAACAAAAGCTTTTAAAAGATGAACTTTTTAGCCAAACCGGTAGAGCTGGGCAACAATGACGGGATTCTAGAGGTTTAAGGTGATCACACAACTACCAAAAACATGATGGAGATAGGTTGTGCGTTGTTAAGGAAGGGCAGCTGAGATGTGAAATACATATGGCTCAAAGATTACAACTTGAGAATCACACTCATACATAAATCATTGTAACATGATAATAATGACCATAAATGTTACCTCTTTCATCTCTAGTGTAGATTTTTACTCTATAACGAACAATCCTCATATTGAAAATGAAGAGTACAACAACTCCAATCTTGGGGTTCTTCCAAAGACAAAAGGGATAAACTTGAGAGTGGTGATGGGAGAAGGAAGGATGACCGCTTGGGAGTTTACGAATGGAATGCTTGATCCCATTTTGATGCTAATCTTGCAACCTTGATCGTCTGATGCTCAAGAAGAACTATCTGAAAGCTGAACTACAGCATGTTGTTCCTTGGCCATAATATCCTGCAAATCTGGAAATATTCTGTAATGCTAGGTGATATTTTGCAATGCTAGGAAATATTCTACAGTGCGAGAGAGTGCTCTGCAGAGCTGGAGAATGTTTTACGGTGCTAGAAAATACTTTCTAGAGCTAGAAGATATTCTGTAGAGTTGGAGAATACTCTGTAGAATCGGAGACTTTGGAAACCCGAGAGAAATGGTGGTTTACGAATGATTCCTACGTTCAGGGCATTGAGTTGGAGATGGCATCTATTTTTCTTTTTGAAGGGAAAAAAATGAGAGTTTCGGTATGTAAGTCTGTTGTTATACTGCATGCATTTTTCTCTTTGTGTGTGTTCTTGAAAATGAAGAGCAAATAATTTATATATATACGCAGTGGTATTGCTATAATTTCTAGTTGGTAGCTTAGAGGTGTGTAGAAAGGTTGGGGTGAACTGTCGAATTTTTGGTGATTCCAAGCACTACTGGCAACTCTTTAACATTGGCATTATGAATTGCCCAACGGTCCCAACGAAGTTTTGCTAGTTCTAGCGAAGAAACTGGAAATTGTATATTTTTGGCAATGTCCCCAACCAAACAAAATCCCATCTTTAAGGAAGTGCTTGAGTGTAGTCGGCAAAAACAACATTTGCACAGGATTTGGTGAGTTCCTCAGGTTCTAAACAAGATTTTGGAAGATTCTGCTAGCAGATAACAATCTTTTACAACAATTTCCAAGGCCATGAAACTTGTGTAGCCACCCTTGCATTAAATATGGCTACAAGTGGCTGATGGTGACCAAGATAGCACCTCTAGTTAGCTTCTAGCAGAATTTCCAGTCTTCGGTTAGCATCTAATTGCATTGTTTTGGGAATCAAGTTCATTTCCATGCTTTTTCCACCCAACCTCTTTTTGGTGAAGTCGAGCAGCATCGCCAGCGCCAAGCTTCGTTGGTGCGGATGCCTTGCTTTGCCAGACGGGCAGCGTTTGTCCATCCATGCCTGCCAAGCCACTACTCTCATAATTTATCTCGAATAATCCCCATGAGCTTGGATTCATAGGCTTATGTCTATCTGTAGTAACAGCAAGGTATATGTGAATATATATTCCGATATTTAAGAATAAGAAACACACAGGCATATGCAATAAAGAAGGAAACTCCCTCATGTGTTGAAAGGGAACTATGTGAATGAATATTCGCTACTCTCATTTGCCTATTAGCCATGGCCGACATCAGTACATTACTATTGTGCATGGTTGGCATTGCACCAGAATGAGGAATAAGTGGTATGGGTGTGCACTGTGATATTGTTGTCCCAAGCCAAGCTTCTTTGGCCGACGATACCTGTTGACACGTAAGATATAGAAAATATGTGTTATGAGTCAAGATTATCGGTAGTCGGTAATTTTGTCCCTTTGCATAGAAGAGTGACTATGCATGACCTCTGGCCATGTTATATATGTATTGCGAGGTCAGCCATGCATAGCTTACCCATAGCCAGAGGGACACCAATGGCTAACTTTGCCCATGGCTGAAGCGTGAACTATGTGGAATTAGAAGAGCACTCTCACTACTCCGCCAAGCTACAAAGGGGTAAATGTCATTAAACTAAACTCTGCCATAATGATGAATATGTATAGAGAAAGATGGAGTTGTCTCCATGGAAGGGGGATGCCAACCGCATCCATGGCCTCCGATAAAACAAGGTGTGATATTAATGACACACGTTGGCCCTTCTTATCATACCTGCACTATTAGAGGGTGGTCCTGGTTGTTGTTGCCTACCAAGCATCACACCACCATGCATGGGCGGCCACCAAGGGACCGTCGATTGCTTCTTGATGGATTTTTATCGCTTGAGGGTAGCCATCCCATCCGATCGCAAGGTTGCAACTGTTACCGACCTCATGCTAATCGTATCGAGTTGCACTGACTCTTTGTCCATTTTTGGGAGCCAGTAAGATAGAATATGTAGAAATCCGACCCTTTGTCCGTTGCCGAGAGCCAATGAAATGAAGATATGTAGAAATGTGTAGCCTTTTGTCTATTGCTAAAGGTTAAATGAGATAGTAAATCTGACCCTTTGTCCATCATTGTGAACTATGTAGATGCAATAAGATCAGCCCATGGTTCGTTGATGGGAGCCATGCAGCGAAATAGGCTTTTTATCCATTGCTGAGAGCCAAAATATGTAGTAGTAAACATCGCTACAAAGGACATGATCGTCAAAAACGCCCAACCATGTTGTGTAGATAATGTGACCGTGTCTGGTCATGTGTAAGGGAATGCTATTGAAGTAGAACATGTTTGTATCATTCCCAACAAGGTGGGTAAATGCCACTCTTGGTGATATATAAGAGAATAATGTTGAGTGTTGCTTCTGGCGATGTCGACTCCATTTCAGCAATTAATAGAAAATAGGAACTGCATATCCAATGTGGGAAGTGAGTGTTGTGGGCCCTTGCTGATGTGGATCCGCATATGTCATTGGTGATGTAACCATATAAACTCATCCCTCAACACCCCTTAACCAAATGATACCAACTAAAAAAAAAAAAAAATTAAAGAACGCACAACCCATGTCAAGCTCCCTTTTTCTTTTCTTTTTGAAAAACTAGCTAAATTCAATTAATAATCTATTAACTATGTGGTCTATTTTAGTTTAGTTTAGAAACAATATTTTCTTTCAAAATGATTTATAAACTATTAATTTTATATCAAAATGATCTAATTGACAAACATCTGTTAACTAGACTAACGAAATTCTTTCTAATGGTGCCACCTAATTTGCCACTTGCATGCCACGTGGCCCAAAACATAGGTGAAGCAATTGTAGAAAAGTTTCCTCTCTATACTTTTAGAATATGTTAAATATAGTACATATATTTTTGTTTTTTACAACATTTTGTTTTTAAAGTATAAATTCTATGTCAAATGTAATAATTAATTAAGATAATAATTTCAATTTACATTGATCAAAATTCTAATTTTAATTAACAATAATCAATATTACAATTTAAATTTATTATTTCTTAAAAAACTTAATGTCATTATTAAATTACATATTTTTTTCCACTAATTTGTATAGAAAAATAAAAAATTTTAATTTTAATTTTCAACACTAAAGACACATGCATGATCTTAATTTAGGGATTTATAAAATTGAAATTAATTTTTATTTTTTCAAGTAATTTTAATTATGTGTGGGGTGCTCATTTCATGAAATTAAATTTGGGAAGGGTTTACTTGCTAAAAATATTAATATTTTATAGTCCATTAAATTCTTTTAGAAATAATAAAATTTAAATTATAATATTATTATTGTAAATTAAAATTAAAATCTTAATTAATGTAAATTGAAATTTCATCTTAGTTAATTAAATTTGATAAAAAAATTTGATTTTCAAAAACATGTTACAAAAAATAAGAAAATATATATACTATGTTTAACATTTTTTAAAAGTTTAGGGAGCAGCTTGTCTACACCAACTTCCCTTTGTGTGTTTTGGGCTATATGGCTTGCAAGTGGTGAATTACTAGCACCATGTCAACAGCTAAAAATAATTCTATTTGTCTAGTTAATGGATGTTTGTCAAATAGACCATTTTGATACAAAATTAATAGTTAATAGATTATTTTGAAAAAAAAAATATTTCTAAACTAAACTAAAATAGAGTACATAATTACTAGATTATTTATTGAATTTAACCTGAAAAACCTAGTGAATTTCTTGAACTAACTAAAGAAGTCATTACCATTTTACACCGATTGGTACAGCTGGTACATATCGGTTTTTTAAGTAATCTAAAATGCTATACATTTAAATTCTATTTTGATCAAATTTTGAGTATTTCGATCAAATTTCAATGTACCAACCGATATTTTGCATATTGGCTGATACACTGAAATTTAACAATACACAATATGTTCAAATTAAAAAAAAAAAATTTCCCTGCTAGGGGCTTCTTAACCCTTGCGATTTCAGATCGGTAGTTCTTTTCCTTCCTCACCTCATCCTCGTTGATGCTTGCTTTGCTACCACTGCTCTTTCTTTCCATTTCTTGTTTTGCAAACCCTAGATCTTGAATCTTGATTTATATATCTCTTCACCACTCTCCAACTCCGTCTCTTAGGTATTTTGTTTGACTTGCTGAAGCTGAGCTGGAGAGATAATGGTGACGTTCTGTCAATGTTTCAGAACTAACCTTTCTTTTCACGTCTCTATAATTTGGACTCTACACTCTGTTAGAAGTTGAAATCTCTCAGATCTCCATAGCTGTTTCCCATCTTCGTGCTATGGCGGTGGCATCCACTAGTCTCAAGAGGATGGATCTTCCAAGGCAAGTGGACCGCTCTCTTTCTCAATCATCGTCCGACGGTGCCACCAAAGCATCCAATCTCTCTTGCTCTTCCCACACTCCTGATCGCAATGATTCTTCAAATTTAGATGTCGATGCTTAAGTTCTACATACACTACTGAGTTTTATCTTTATTTGATATGTTTGCAAATGCAATATAAGAGTGGCTGTCACTTTGTCAAAATCATGATTAATCTAGTTTAAATTTTTTTCCAAGTGTTTTATCTTTGGAGAAATTAAAGTCATTGGATGATAGGACAACTCTAATAATTTAATGGAAACCATTGTTTCAAATTCATGTATGATTATGACTCCCAGTTATTACAAATAGTGATATTTGCTTGTGCAGTCGATCTTGATGATTTTTGCTTATGGTTTTGTAAGGACAGGTCCGAGGTGCCAAGCCTCGGACTGCTACAGTAATTCCTTTATGACCGAAGTGAAGGATAAATCCAAAGCTTCCCGCTCAAATAGCTGCATGACAATGACAATAAGCATGCTCGCACCCAATTCCTTATGATGAGCTACACAGTAGGTATGATGGACGTCCGTGCATCTGAATACCTCTCAAATTCCCGGTCCCGGAATAATCGTCTGGATAGACACGTCAAGCTTCGATTATCTTGCTTGGCATGCCACGTGGGTTCCTCATTGGATCCTATAAATACCCCCCCCGGGCGACGTCAAAAGGGAATTGAAAACCAACCCTAAGCTCTTTTTATCTCCGCTCTAAAGATAGCCCCGATTATTGCTGACTTAAGCATCGGAGTGTCTACCTCAAGTTCCACCTCGGGGCTTTGCAGGTCATTCCGGAGCGCAGACGCGGACTAAAGAAGGACCTCTGGTTTGGTGCAATTACATTTGGCGCCGTTTGTGGGAATCCGAACTGAAAGCTTTCTTGTTGCTCTTTCATCATGGTTCACACTTGATCAGTCCGAGCTGGTAATTCATCTCTGCCTCTTAGGCAAGGTCAACCCCCCAACAACCTTCCACCTCTGATCTCACCTCAACTCCCACCTCAGCTTCCACCTCAGGTCCCAACTATGTTCCCTCCTGTTGATCATGTAGAAGGAGGAGATGAAAACCAACCTCATGCCTCAGCTCACAACTCAACTTCCAGTGCCAACCAAGACATATTTGCAACTCAGCTTATTGCCATGCAACAGCAGTTTAGTGTCTTTCAACTAATATTGGCTCAGCTTTTAGCTAGAAACAACCTTGGTGATCCCCTCATTAATTTACTGAACCCTGCTCCACAACCACCAGCTCCACAACAGAATCCTCAACCAGTTCAGCATGCTCCTACTCTTAATGAATCTCAGGGTCAATCTCTCATAGCACCAGTTCAGCAACCCCTTCCTGATGATGTCACTAGACGTCTAGACAGCCTAGAAAAGCTAATAGCTAATCAGCGAGGTGCCCCACCTCCACACCATGCTGCTGACTCCATACCTCATCCTCTGAACACCAACATCACATTGGAACCTTATCCCGCTGGCTTCAAAATTCCTCAGCTCGAGACTTATGATGGGACGAAGGATCCCGATGATCACCTGCATCCTTTCTACTCTTGCATGCAAGCTCAGAACGCCTCTAACGTGTTGATGTGCAAGATTTTTCCCTCTACTTTTCGAAGTAATGCTGGAACTTGGTATTACAGTCTACCTCCAAGGTCAATTAGTTCTTATACAGAAATGACATCTGATTTTGCCACTAAGTTTTCCAATAGAAGGTTAATCAGGAAAACTACTTTTGAGTTGATGCGAGTTAAACAGAGGGATGGAGAATCTCTGAAGAACTATATGAGCAGATTCAATGATGCGGTATTGGAGGTTAGTTCCTTCGACCAAGCTATGGGGATCACAGTTGTGATCTCTGGTCTTAAACATGATAGGTTCAGAGACAGTTTGATCAAACATCCTGCCACCACCTTTAGTGAGGTGAATGATAAGTCTCTGAAATTTATAACTGCTGAGGAATATGCCCTGGCACATAACCCAACTCCTTCTAAGAACCGAAATCCAGAATGGAGAGATGAAAATCCAAGCAAGAAAAGGATGAGGATGGTACAGAACTGAGGTCCAATGCCGACCTCTACACCGAGATTCGGAAGGCCGAACTCTACACCCCCGCAACAATCTGTAGGTAAACCTCCAGTTAATTGGACTCCTTTTAATTTGCCGAGGTCATAGATTTTTATGCAGATCAAGAATAAGATGGATTTAAGGCGTCTTGGCCCAATGAAGACTGTTGCTGCTAGTCGAGATTATACCAGATATTGTGATTTTCATCAAGATCACGGTCATACTACAGAGCAGTGCAACAGTTTAAGGTTTGAACTAGAAAATCTAGCTCAGAAGAGAATGTTGAATGAGTACATTTAGAGAGCTGAACAGTCGAGATTTGTCAAAGAACAGAGGCCACAGCCTCAAGGAGTCCGCAATCCCCCAAATAAGCAAGGTGTGGGATATCAGCAAGCCCCACCTCTACTCCTACCACCAGCTAGAATCATACACATGATTACGGGAGGCCTGGAAGCAGGTGGACTGAGCTCTAAACAGCGAAAACTGTATGTCAGAGAGGTTAAGCATCAAAACCGAGCTCAGAAACGGAAGTTTAACGACGCTGACTAGAAGAATCAACCCATTACTTTCACATCTGTTGATTTCGACACAGTTGTTACACCCCACAATGATCCTTTGGTCACATCTGTCATGATTAACAACTGTGAAGTACAGCGTGTCCTCGTTGACATCGGGAGTGCACCAGACATCATGTACTTCCACTATTTTCGAAAGTCTTGGACTGGATCCAGCATTGTTGCAAAAATATGATGGTCCCATCTATGGTTTCAACAACCAGCCTGTTCAGGTAGAAGGAGTTCTTACCCTCCATGTTGCTTTTGGGAGTGGCCGGACCTATGTGACTCTTTCAGTCCAGTTCTTCATCGTCAAGATGGCGTCCTCTTTCAACGTTGTTATTGGCCGACCCACATTGACTGAAATCCGAGCAGTGGTTTCGCAATCTCACCTCTGCATGAAGTTCCCAACTCCTATGGGAATAGCAACACTACGAGGTAATCAAGAGGTGGCCAGACATTGTTATATCACCTCGGTAACACAACTTACGAAGGGCAAATATCAGACATCCGAGGCCATTCCTCAACGAATTCCTGACAATAAGTAAGTTATGGGTGTTGAGATCGTAGATAATCGACCGGAAGATGAAACCAGAGCTGCTCCAGTCGAAGATGTTGAAGAAGTGCTCATTGATGGCAGAGATCCGAGCCGAAAGATGCAAATCAGAACTAGATTGAACCCGGAGGAAAGAGCAGAGCTAATAGCTTTCTCCGAGCTAACAATGATGTATTCGCATGGACTTCGGCAAACATGCCAGGAATTCCAAATTCAGTATCTCAACATAAGCTCAGCACCAATCCATTGAAGAAACCAGTGGCCCAGAAGCGACGTCTTTTCGGGGGGGGAGAGGCTTTAGGCTATTAATGACGAGGTAGAGAAACTTCTACAAGTTGGTTTCGTTAAGAAAGTTGATTACTGCGAATGGGTGGCTAACCCAGTCCTGGTGAAGAAGGCAAACGGTAAATGGCGAATGTGCATCGATTACACAAATCTTAACCAAGCCTGCCCCAAGGATTGCTATCCGATGCCGAACATTGACAAATTAGTTGAAGCGGCTTCAAGCAATGAGAGGTTAAGTCTCTTGGATGCATATTATGGCTATCACCAGGTGCCGATGGCTCCAGAAGACGAAGAGAAAACCTCGTTCTATGCTGGCGATGAAATTTATTACTATGTCATGATGCCGTTTGGCTTAAAGAACGCAGGTGCTACTTATCAGAAAATGGTGACCATCGTCTTACGAGCTCAGATCGATAGGAATCTGGAAGTTTATGTCGACGACATTGTGGTAAAGAGCCTAAAAGCAGAAGACCATCTAG